CTCGTAGCAGACAGACGACCCCCCCCCCCCCCTTCTGTCTCTCTGTCACCCCTGCCTTTCTAGCTTTCAACAAGAGCAGCATTTTCCTAGGTGATGAGATGAAGAAGATGCTCCAAGGACCAAAATAGCAATTGCAACCCAGTCACCCAAACGAATGGTCTTAACTTTCGAAAGAGCTGAAAAATTAATGCCTCCGCTCTTTTCTCGTCTAAAAAAAGAGGACCTCTTACCAAAGTTTCACACGCAATGGCCTCTTAACTCTAAAATAGTAATGACATAGCCCTCGATTGTACTTCACAAAAACACGGAAAATCGGGGTTCGAATGTGACTGTGTCTAGTCCACTGAATTTTGTCTCCTTGTATGCTGTATTACTTCTTCTCCCCCCCCCCCCCCTAACTTTTTTAGATATTCTTTTCGCCCAGATTCTTTGCAGCGTTCGTACAACCAAATGCGGATTTTTGCTTTCTGTGTTTGGAGAACAAAGAAAAATTATGTCTGCCAAAATAAAGTAAAATTGTTCCCGCATCCGATCCGGACTTTGGAGATCGCCTTGTAAGTGAGACAACTTCCTGGGCTTTCGGAATATTGTGGTATTGTGACCAGTTCCGTTTCACGTCGCCTTTACTTCCCCAACTCGAAGTCAGGTACCTATTACTGCTGGGGGAGCAGAAGGGGGCGAAAAAAATCCGTGTCCGAACGCGGATTTTCCGCTTCAAAGACGAGCGCACTAGGCGCTCCGCCCCCGCTCCCTCTCTGCCAAAATACACACCTTAAAAATATTATTGACAGATAACCAGTGTACCGTGTGCCAAAACAAAAGTGGGCGTTATTTCAGAAAGGGTAGCTATCAATACTCTTAAAGAACTCAGTGGGGGCTAAAACACGAATAGCTTTGTTACTGGATGATTAAGTTCAAATATTGAGGAAGTTTGGAAATCATTCGTGAATGAATGTAAGTAAGCCCTCGTGGTTTACAACGGGTTAAGAGTGGGTGGTGAAGGGGAGCGAGATATTTTTACCTCCATCTATTTTGCAACCTTCTTTGACTCCCTCTATCCTGCAACTCCCTGGAGTGACATAACTTTACATTTAGAGAGAGAAGTGAGAGAATGGGGGGAAAGAAAAAGAGAGGATCAAAGAAAGAGAGAGAAGGGGAAGCAAGAGAGAGAGAGGAGGGAGAAGAGAGAGAGAGAGAGAGAGGGGGGGGGAGAGAGAGGGATAGATATATATGTATATATATATCATTATCATCCGGTGCCTTGCCGACTGGCGTGGGCGATCATGGACCTCCACTTCCATCTGTTGTTCTTGCTGCTCCCAGCCATGTTGTCATCTTGTCCAGTATCTTTTCCCTCTGTCTGCCTCT